TTCGATAGATCGGTAGTCTTCAAGGCAATCGCATCTCCACGGAATTCAGATAGGAGTGTCTTTCCACTTCGTCCTTGGCCTAATATACGCTTAAACTTAAAGTCCGCCAAGCTAAAATTCCGTTGATTTGGCAGATTTGCCGAGGTGCTGGAAGATGATGCTTTATTTGAGTTTTTTCCTGGGACCATTGATCGAATAACACGATCAACGCGTTTACTTGTAACGTACGATTTTTTGACTCCCCGAAATTATGAGAGGATTGAGAAAATCAGGGTGATCACTTGCTTGCAAAGCTATATATGCATAAGCTTTGAGTACGAGTGGAGAAGGTAATGGAAGCGTTTCTGAAATATAAAGCGTTGCTGGCGCCTCACTCGGTCGACGTATAAACCAGTGGTGATCATAGGTGGAAAGTATAGAATATTGAAGTTGGTTATCGGTCATATAGTTATAAACTTGCTGAATTACCTTCTTTGCATTAGAATTTGTTTCATAAAACTCTGGTAATGTCTGTCCATTGATGCCTTTTAAAATATGTACTCTCTTGATCTCGATTGCCAGGATTAATTTATGTAAATTATTGTAATCATGATAGCAACTGAAATCTAGTTCGCCAGAAGAAGGAACACTCTCCCTCAAAAATTTATAATCTGGTCCTATAAGAACGTTCAATACCATACAAATGTTTGAATTAAAACCACCGCGAACGTCTTCTTCGTTGCGTAGACTATATCTATCATCAAATTGCGGTTTCTCGAATCTTGGCTGTTGATCGAAGCGATATTCATTTACTTCATCGAAAAATTTTTCCCAAATCAATACTGCCAACGGCGAATCACCAACCGCATTCGTAGAACTTGTCGAGAAAGTACCTCTTGAAGAATATTCGAGAATCGGTGAAATACATGACAATGCCTCTTCCAAGCTGAGAACTAGAAAAATAAAGACGCGGTGTATGACGATAAGCAGGAAAGAAAGAAAAGCATAAGATTAAGTATTCGATATTATTAGCAAATATGACACAACGCGGGCGGGGGTGAAACAACGGCTATCAAAAGTTAAGCCACATTATCCTATGTTATGATTGAATCTCTGTGTTAGAACATACCAGGCGTCAAGAAAGTCATAAGATAATCAAGTTTCTCGCCATCATCCGCGCAGGTAGGAAGGATAGACTCTGTTTCAAATTTTTGAGGAACATTATTAGTGAAGAAGGAGTGTAGAGACGCCCTTTGCTCTCGAGTGAAATCGAGGCGAGCAATTTCTTGATAGACAATTGACATTGTATGTACAAAAAAGAATAGTACAAATAGACAATTTTGCGGGTATATATGAGATAGTGATTGGACTCGAATCAACTCGTTTTGACTCGAGTCAAGTCGAGTCATAATTTTCTGACTCGAAGAGTACTCGAGTCAGAATACGAGTCAGGTAATTTGAGTCAAGTAATTTACAGTGGTTCGCACATGTAACGGAATACGAAATTAACTTACTAGGTTTTTATTTCCATGACTATTAGTTCGAACAAAATAAAAAAGTGTTTATTTGAAATCTTGAAACCACTAATATTTTTTAAAAATAATTTAGTAACAGATTATTTTGTAAAATAAATCAAAATTTACAATTAGTAGATTTCTCACATTGAAGAACTTATTTTCTATGATGGATTCAAATTTGGACCACTAATTAAAAATATTCTACTCTATAAAATCTACCTATTTACCAATTTTCATAAAAATTGTCACAAAATTCACCGAGATTTGAGACTCCGAAGGACCGAATCTATGTTATAAGCATTAATTCATGTATTAATGCTCCTAGCATATATTCAGTCTTAGGATCTTAAATATCTATAAAAATTAAGCTGATTTTTATGAAAATGGGTAAATAGGTAGATTTTATAGAGTAGAACATTTTTAATTAGTGGTCCAAATTTGAATCCATCATAGAAAAAAAGTTCTTCAATGTGAGAAATCTACTAATTGTAAATTTTGATTTAAATCACTT